GAAGAACAAAAGGACAGCAACTTGTCTGTTCCCCTTCCCCCAATTCCCCAGCGCTGTTCCCATCCCCCAATTCCCCAATAAAAATCTTTAAAAAAAAGAATAAAGCATACAGAGAAACAAGAAAATATAGCCCATACATAGGGAAAAAGCAACCAAGAGAAAGTATCCCTAAGGAACAGAAAGAAACAAAGAAAAATGAAGAGCTTAAGAGACCTGTGGGACATCAAGTATATCAGAATATGTACAACGCGAATCCTAGAGGGAGAGGAAAGGTGCAGAACAAATATTTGACAAAATAATGCCCAAAAACTTCCCAAATTTTATAAAAAACTATTTATACATCAGGAACCTCACTAAACTCCAAGTAAAATAAAATGAAAGAGCTCCACACCAAGATACATCACATTCAAACTGTTGAAAGACAATGACAAAGATAGAATCTTGAAAGCAGCCAGAGAGAAGTGACACATCATGTACAAAGGATCCTCAATAATATTAATAGCTGATTTCTCATCAGAAACCATGGAAGCCAGAAGGCAGTGGGATGACATATTCAAAGTGCTGAAAGGAAAAAACTGTCAAGCAAGAATTACATGTCTGGCAAAATTATCCATCAAAAATGAAGAAATTAAGACAGTCCCAGTTAAAATCTGAAAGAGTTTGAAACTACCAGAACTTCCCCAAAAGAAATGCTGTAGGAAAGTCCATCAGGCTGAAATGAAAGGACACTAAACAGTAACTCAAATCTACACAAAGAAATAAAGAACTCTGGTAAAGGTAACTTACACAGGTAAATACAAAAAACAACATGAATGAAATTTTTGTTCATAACTCCAATTTTTTTTTACCTGATCTAAAATACAATTAAATAGAGCAGTAAATATAAATCTATGTTGATGGGTACACAATCCATAAAGTTGTAATTTGTGACAAACAGCATAAAGAGAAAGCAGAGCTATACATAGGAGCAAAGTTTTACGTATTATTAAAATTAAGTTAGTATTAATCTTAACTAGATTGTTAAAAACTAAGATATTAATTGAATCCTCAGGGCAACCCCTAAGAAAACAACTCAAAAAAAGAGTAAAAGAAACGAGAAAGGATTTAAAGCGGTACACTAGAAACTGTCTACTGAAAACCAAGAGAAAGAAAACTGTCTACTAAAAACAAAAGAAGAGTAATGGGAAAAACCGAGGCACAGAAAAGATATAAGGTATGTACAAAACATAGCAAAAAAGCAGAAATAAGTCATTCCTTTCAAAAAATTAAAAATGATTGCAATAATAGTATTTTCTCTGACCACAATAGAATACAATTAAAGGCAATGGATAAGTAATTTTAGAAGCAATTTTAGAAAATTCACAAATATGTGGAAATTAAACAACATACCTAAATGACCAGTAGGTCAAAGAAGAAATGGCAAGGAAAATTAGAAAATAGTTTGATATGAACAAAAATGAAAACTCAACATACTAAAACTGATGGGAAGCAGAAAGATCTCTAATCAATAACAGCCTCCCAACTTAAAAAACTAGGGGGAAAAAAGCAAGGTAAATCCAAAAGAAAGAAATAATAAAGATAATAATAAAGTTAAAAGATAAATAAAATCTAGAATAGAAAAACTGAAAAATCAATGAAACCAAAAGTTAGGTCTTTGAAAAGATAAGCAAAATTGACAAACCTTTAGCCAGATTGATCAAGAAAAAAAACACTCAAATAACTAAAATCTGAAACAAAAATGAGAAGTAAAACTATCTCTATTTGCAAATATGTAACATGATTTTATATATAGAATACCAATGAATCTTAAAAATAACTACTAGACATGAGTTTAGCAAATTTGCAGGATGTAAGTTCAAGTTACAAAAGTCAGTTGCATATCTACACACTAGCAACAAAAACTTGAAAATGCAATTTAGAAAAATTTCATTTACAATAACATCAAATATAATAAAACCTTAGGAGTAAATTTACCCAATGAGATACAAGATGTGAACACTAACAACTACAAAATATTCTACAAAAGAGTTAAATAAATGGCCGTATTTAACGCTGACAGTGTTTCAATGTCAATGTTATGAATATGCTATCATAATATAAACAAAAATTGGTAGATGGGAGCAGAGGAGACGGAGGAAGTGTGGATTAATGTATTCATTTTTCATAGAAGGGAGTTGTTTGCTACCGTTATAATTTAAGTATATATATATATATATATATATATATATATATACACACACACACACACACACATATATATATATAAAAAATGTTTGGTTTTTTTTTTTGGGGGTTTTTTTTTTAAGCAAATAATGACTTGAGTCTTAATATTTTAAAAAACTTAGAGAAGTCTCTTAAGAAATAATTCTTGGGCCAGCCGAGTGGCGCGTTGGTTAAGAGCTGGCATCCTGAGCAGCAGGGCCCCGGATCGGATCCCACATGGGGGTTAGTGACACTGCCCTCTACAGCTAAGATGGTGAACAACAGCTCGACCCGGAGCTGGGCTACCGTGAGTCACCAGCAATGACGTAGGTTGCAGCCCCCGCTGCAGTGAGCTGCTGTGAGCTACAGTGAGTGGCTGGCAGTCGGCGTGAGCAGCCAAGAGCCGCCATGAGTGGCAGTCCAGTGGCCGGCAACGGATCTGCCTCAGCTGGGAAGAGTGCAATGATAATGCCAACATGGGCCAGTGAAGCGACATCCTCCACAACTAGACTGAAGAACAAAAGGACAGCAACTTGTCTGTTCCCCTCCCCCAATTCCCCAATAAAATCTTTAAAAAAAAAAAAGATATAATGAAAATCAAGGAAATATACCTGATTCATACAACTCTTCCTCCACTGATAGCCCAATTTCTCACAAGTCTCTTTCAGGCATTGATAAGATTTGTCTGCATCCAATTTGGTAAAAAATCGTGTCATTCTTTTGACCAAGCGCTGCCAGGGGTTCTACATGTCAAACAAAGGAAAGCAGAATAAATCTGATATCACCAAAAGCAGTCACATCATAGCTATTTCATCTGAGAATTCTTTTCTGTGACTTAAGATTCTTATCCATGAAGGTCTCTTCTAATTCTCTCCTTGTCAAACAAATATATATCTGTATAAATTAAAGCATTAATACTGTTAAGATTTATACTTTAAAAAAAGACTTTAAGACAATAAAACATAAAGGGCTTCCATTATTATTTGAAAAACTAAATTCCCTTACCTGTGAGGATCCTGGGGTGCCAAGTAACTGACTATTCAGAAGCATATGATCTGGACATGTGGGTTGGGAAAAGCTGATCCCTTGTACCAGTTTATCAATGTATTGAGGGCTGGTGTCCCATACAGACAGACCTGTCCGTGGTTCTGGCTGTGAACTGGAGTACTTCACATTTTCTTCACTGAGGTATTAAAATGTGGCGGAAAAAAATATACCTTTAAATAAAATCTGTCAGGCCTTTCTTATATCACATTACCATTCTCACCCGATAAAAGTGACATTCATTAACAATAAAAAATATATATATACGTGTATTATTTTCCAGGGGGAATACTACATTCACAAACTACTTGATCTTTATTCATTAATCTTACCTAGAAGCACTGTTTACTAGAGAGAAGTCCAGACTGGATTGAATGTGCTTAGAGAATCCACTAGGAGACTCTGCTACACCACCTGAAGTGACTCGGGGCCTCTTTGCCCCTTAAAAACAAAACAAAACAGCCTGTAAGTACAAATGCTTTCAAGTCTTGTATGCAGATAATTTTTAATTAACCCAACTGGCAACATGAAGAAGTGAAACTACATCTAAATTCATTTATTTAACACAAAATACTTAGATGATAAATAGTGGCTCTTTCTATATGATTTTATGAGCAATATGGTCATTATGAACTTACTAGGACTCACTTGACAAATTACACAAATCCTGACCTGTAAGTATATTCCAAATGTGGGGTATAAGGCCATAATTTTAATGGTATCATTTATGGTAACAGAACAACGTTTTATGAAGACAGAGACATCTAGCTAAAGGATCAAAGCTTTTAAAAATAAAAACAATTTATGATAACAGCAATGGACATTATGAATCTGCTCTAGCCAACATTCCTTACTCCAATGGAAAAGCATGACCAAGAATAATCATCATATAGAAAACTGCCACTATAAGTTCATAGTTACCACCTCAGCTGGACCCTTAACACTGGCAGTCAGTCCTGTTTCCTCTTCCTTTCTCCACATGATTGTTTCAAAATTTCTACACTTTTGTCAAATTCCCAAACCATCCTCCAGCACTTCACTTCTTAGCATCTGATACCAACTCCTACTTCACAAAGAAAATCAAGTCATTAGAAACTCCCTCAACTTGCACTACCAAATCTGCCAATTTACTTGCATTCCTACCTATTCTCTCCTCTCGTTAGATGTTCATCCCTCTACTTGTACTTGAGCCCATACACTCCTAATTCCTCAGGGATTTAGATGCTCTTTTATTTCCTCTGTCTTAGATTTTCAGCCTCTTCCTTTCAACTGGATCTGTCCCCAAACCTTTATGTTTGTTAATCCATTCATTCAAATGTTTTATTAAGCCTACTATGTACCAGGAAGATGGGAGAAACAGCATGTTGATACATTGATGAGAAAGATCCAGTAGAGAGGGAAAAATTAATAATACAGGAGAGAGAATTGCTAGACAATGCCCTTGAGTAGGAAAAAGAGAACTGGGTCTAGTGCACAAGAGAAAAGCTGGCTTATATCTGGGGCAGACAATTTATCCATAGCAACCGGGGAGAAAGCAAAGTATACGAGCAAAGAGGCAGTTAGGTGGATGGAGATGGTGGTGAGTTTGTGGGTGCTTCCTTGTGATTGCTTCTATTTCCCAGTGAAACAGGAAGTTTCACTGTCACCAATGGAAAGTGAGGATGGGGAAGAAGTATTGGAAGTTAAAGAGAAAAGAAAAGGTATAAAAATGTGACTTAGGAGAGTGGGTTGCAAAAGTGGGAAATGCATTATGATTGCCTGGCAGAATTAAGGGCCCACTCGAGATTAGTGATCCTGAATTTAAAGTGAACATTGTTGTATATTTTTCTCCAGCAGCAATGAACTGTGCAGGTATTAAGGGCAGAGTAGGTAGAAAACTGGATTAAACTTGGGTTAGGTTTTGCCCGGTAAGTATGATGAAGAGAGAATGGGGCAAGAAAGTTGAGTATGAATGTAAAGAAGTATTATAATGACTGACCTTGGGATTTAAAATAGTGAGGATGGAACACAGGAACCAGAGAGGGTGCAGATAAGAGACAGTGAAAAGGCAGTAGAATTAAGGGATTGCAAATCCAGGTTAAGTCAAAGGATTGTTGGAGTCAGGGTACTAGAGAGAGGAAGCCAGAAAAAAATACACTGGTGGTCAGAGCAGGATGGTCAGAGCTTAAAGACAAGATCACTAAAGGAGAGAAAGTCAAAGAAATGTGAGGTCATCCAGATAATATTCGAAGGATCATCCGGATAAATATTTAAACCACCAAGAACCATGATAAAAATTACATGGAGCTGTGTTGGAGAGAGTGACAATTTGGCAGGAATTTTAATTTGGGGTTTAGAAGTTGATTATAACAAGGAGGGAATACTAGGTGGTAGAGTCTGATAACATGAGATTTGAAATGAAAGGGGGAGGAATGTGGGAAAAAGGGAGGAAGTGACAATGAGGAACAAAGAGGATACCTGTCACACTAGACCCAAAGAGAGAGAGTATGGAAAAGAAAACATCTACCATTTGAGAGAAAGCAGTGTTCTCAGGGGTGAGTTGGATTTCAACTAGAATAAGGTGAGAGGTGAAAGAAACATTCAGAGGAGTTAAATTCCTCATTTGTCTCCAGCTATTGTCCTGTCTCAGATGAACTTCCTGAATGAGATGTCTATACTCTGCTTCCTGACCTCTCTTTTAGACTACAATCACTGTACAAACACTGTANAAAAAAAAAAAAGCCCATTAAGGGCCGGCCGAATGGCTCAGTTGGTTAAGAGCTCACTCAAGAGTGCAAGCTCTGAGCAACAGGGTCACTGGTTCGATTCCCGGCCCAAGCTGAGCTGCCAACAGGTGGCAGGGTAGCTCAGCTAAAAAAATAACTAAATAAAAAATAAAAGCCGATTAATTCCACAAAGCAATGAAAATGGCAAAAACTGTCAGAATCAACCTTTTTATAACACTGGAAACTAACCAAAAGCTTGCAGCAACACTGGAGCACTCATACGGAACAGTTGAAAGTTAGTAAGAACAGTGAGCCTTCTCACATTATAACTTACTTTATCCCCATCCCCACTCCTCAGCTCAGTAGTAGCTTTGAAAACAAGAGTCTGCAGTTCAGGTACAGGTACAAGTGGCAGCAGAAGAAATGCCATTCACAAATTGTCTTAAGCTGATCTGGCTCCCTGGAAGACCTACTCAGAACACTTGTCTCTATTTTGCCTGACTAGACAGAACCTGTCTGATGCCAAAGCTGCCACCTGGGAGGCATTTGTCAAAAGTATTTACAGGCAAATGCTTTAGCCTCTGCTTACTGAGGCAATGGATAACAGCTGGGGCAAACAACAGATTACCCAAAAAGGTTGAAAGGAAACACTGGGGTGTGAGATGTTTACAAGGGATAAGGGCTTTGAAATTCCCTTACACAGTCCTTGGTAATCTAAAAGGCCACGTTCATGCACAGGACAGTCTGAGAAGGCCCTAACCTCTGCCTCTGGCTAACCATGATGGACTGCACAAGCAGAAAATGGAAGTCTAAGGCAGAGTTGTAAACTTTGACTGACAGTACTGGAGGCATGCCTGACACACCCAGAACCCATATGCAAAAACTAGAAATTTTTTAGTTCCAGGAATCTTAGGAACTCTCTGTCCAATCATTTTAGGAACTCTGTCTAATCATTAGCTGACCACTAAACTAACAGAACAGAGCACGACAATGAGTACAGACTTTACAAAATTAGATCAGAAAAGTCACTAAACAATCAACAACTACATCAAGCATCAAGAAACCCTGGGAAGGAAGGGGAAATCTGAACTCTGGAGTTGTCACATTATAATATTCAAAATGTCCAGTTTTCAACAAAAAAGAATAAAGTGGGGCAGCCGAGTGGTGCGGTGGTGAAGAGCTGGCTTGGGACACCAGAGGGCCCTGGTTCGGATCCCACATATGAGGGCCAGTGACAATGCCCTCTACACCTAAGATGCTGAACAACAGCTCAACCTGGAGCTGGGCTGCCGTTTGAGTCGCCGGCAACAGCATAGGCTGCAGCCACTGCTGCAGTGGGTTGCCATGGGCTACCGTGTGTAGCTGGCAGCTAGCGTGAGCGGCCGTCCAGAAGCCAGCGACTGATCTGCCTTGCCCGGGAAGAGCGCAATGATGGTGCCAACTTGGGCCAGTGAAGCAAC